CTCTCTCTCACTCCCGCTCTCTCTCATACGCACACTCACTTTCTCTCTCACACACGCACACATAAGCACACTCACTCTCTCTCTCTCTCACACACACACACACACGCACGCACGCACACACACACGCTCACACACGCTCACACACACACTCTCTCACACACACTCACCCTCTCTCACACTCTCTCTCTCTCTCTCACACACACACACACACACTCACTCTCTCTCACTCCCGCTCTCTCTCACACGCACACTCACTTTCTCTCTCACACACGCACACATAAGCACACTCACTCTCTCTCACACACACACACACACACACGCACACACGCACACACGCACACACGCACACACGCACACACGCACACTTTCTCTCGCTCTCACACGCACACACTTTCTCTCGCTCTCACACGCACACACTCTCTCACACACGCGCGCACACACTCACATACCTTCAGCTTTGTGCAACTCCAGTGCCAGCTGCTCCCGAGCTCGCTCCTCTTCTCCCAGACACTCCTGCAGCTCCTCCTGTCTGCGCTGCAGCTCCTCCATCTCCTCACTGTGTCTGAACTTCTCCCTCATCAGCTCCGTCTGTGTGATCCGCGCATGCTCCAGCTGACGGAGACGCAGAGACACAGCATGTGCTCAATATGGTCACATAATACGGACAAACACAAATAAAACAGCTGGCATTAATCAGACTTCTGTGTCATGTAAACCCGATGCAGTATATCCACTGTAATAACAAATACTGATCTATATCTGCACACGTTCAAGAAAAAGCAAATCTATGGAGAACCTGAAGAGTTTCTGGAGCGATTTCTATTCTAGAAACATTAAAGAAATGAACATTCATCAATAAACAGACGAGCAGAGCATCATAACAGTCTGACGACCTTCATTGTGTAATTCATTATGATTTTGTGCTTTTTGATCTTAGTGCTGCATTCGATACTATAGATCATGACATACTCATAGATCGATTACAAAACTATGCACGTATTCAAGAGCAGGCTTTAAGATGGTTTAGATCCTACCTGTCCGATCGCTACCACTTTGTTTATTTAAACGGGGAGTTATCTCAATTATCACCAGTAAAACATGGAGTGCCACAAGGATCTGTCCTAGGTCCTCTGCTATTTTCGATATACATGTTGCCCCTTGGTAATATACAAATAAACTTGAATTGAATCGAGGGTCATGAATGAAAGAACGCTTTATTAGAATACTTTGAAGAATTAATAAAAAAAAGCATCATAATAAATGTCAAAGAAAATTAATTTTTACGGTTTTATTTTAATTTTATTTTGATTATTTTTTATTTTACAATCAATTTTTATGATTTTATCATTTTTAAAGCGTTTTATTTTGATTGCTTTCATTTTAAAATTATTTATTTATTTTAATTCAGCATTTTCATGATTTTAAAAAAAATATTTACTATGTTTTATTTTGATTGGTTTTATTTTAAAATCAATCATATATAAAAATCACTTGTCATTTTACATTTTGTAATAATTTTATTCTTTTAAAAAAATTTGGGTCAGTGAGATTTGTTTTAAGGAAAAAATTATTCATCATGGACGCATTAAATTGATCAAAAGTGACAGTACAGACGTTTATAATGTTACAGAAGATTGCTATTTCAAATAAATGCAGTTCTGTTCATCTGTGAATCCTGAAAAATAAAATGCATCAGTTTCCACAAAAATATTGTGCAGCACGACTGTTTTCAACATTGATAATAATCAGAAATGTTTCTCCATATGTACATTAACTGACAGTCACCACTGATAAGCTACCACTAAATATTGTGGAAACTTAATTTGCTGTAAAGCTGCTTTGCAATGATTTGTATCGTGAAAAGCGCTGTACAAATAAACTTGAATTGAATCGAGGGTCATGAATGAAATAACGCTTTATTAGAATACTTTGAAGAATTAATAAAAAAAGCATCATAATAAATGTCAAAGAAAATTAATTTTTACCGTTTTATTTTAATTTGATTATTTTTTATTTTACAATCAATTTTTATGATTTTATCATTTTTAAAGCGTTTTATTTTGATTGCTTTCATTTTAAAATTATTTATTTATTTTAATTCAGCATTTTCATGATTTTTAAAAAAATATTTACTAAGTGTTTTATTTTGATTGCTTTTATTTTAAAATCAATCATATATAAAAATCACTTGTCATTTTACATTTTGTAATAATTTTATTCTTTTAAAAAATTTTGGGTCAGTGAGATTTGTTTTAAGGAAAAAATTATTCATCATGGACGCATTAAATTGATCAAAAGTGACAGTACAGACGTTTATAATGTTACAGAAGATTGCTATTTCAAATAAATGCAGTTCTGTTCACCTGTGAATCCTGAAAAATAAAATGCATCAGTTTCCACAAAAATATTGTGCAGCACGACTGTTTTCAACATTGATAATAATCAGAAATGTTTCTCGAGCAGCAGATCAGCATATTATACTGATTTCTGAAGATCATGTGACACTGAAGACTGGAGGAATGATGCTGAAAATACAGCTTTGCGCACAGAAATATATTACAGTTTGATAGATATTCACATAGAAAACAGCTATATTACATCATAATAATATTTCACTATTTTTACAGTATTTTTGATCAAATAAATGCAGACTTGGTGACTTAAAAAAAAAAAATCTTACTGACCCTAAGCTTTTGTACAGCACTACACAGTACTGTTCCGTCTTAAAGCAGTCTGAAAATACAGATGAAAAGCACACTGTGTCAACAAGCTCTGAGCGTTTGATCGTCTTCATGTGGTCACACACTGATGTGAAACAAAATCCTGCTTCAACAAAAGCCAGGATTTCTCTGACATGACAAGCGAGCCTGATCTCGTGTGAACACAAAACACACACACAAACACACCCAGGAATCTCCTTACAGCGCAGTCGACGTGTACAACAGCTCCAGACCCTCTTATCTAACTAAACGGCCAGCGAGCGTCTATAAAACCCTTTCCAAAGGTCACACTCTTACGGTGTAGGGCGGCGTGGGCAGGGAGATCTTGGAGACCACTTTGAGCAGGTGTCCGTTGTGGCGCTGGTTGATGTGTGAGATCTGCGTCTGCACGACTACAGCGTTCTTCTCGTGAAGCAGGTGGCTGAGAGGGAAGGGTCGCGGCAGCGGGATGCGCGACTCCACCTCGTAAACATCCATGTCCTGGCTTTCCAGCCAGCTGTCGCGCAGGATCTGCGAATCCCAATACGCCCGATAGGAATCCATGTCGTCTTCTAAGCGGCGTCCTGCGAGAAGTTAGAGACTCGTCTCATCGTCGTCAGGCACAAATGACACAGATCTCTGGTCAGGAAGAACCAGCTTGATGTAAATGAGCGAATCCCAGATGAACAAGTCGATCCGGAGAGGAAACGAGGAAACTACCTGTTACCAGAAACACACACACTCTCCCGTTCACTTTCCCTCGCGCTGGAAACTCATTAACAATTCCATGCTTCCGTGGCAACGGTCCTGTGGGAAAATGCAGGGCCTCATTAACGAGCGAGAACAGTGCATAGCAGAGACTCCCTCTGCCCCTCCTCCTTCTCTCTCTCTCTGTGTGTGTGTGTGTGTGTCTCTCTCTCTCTCTCTCTCTCTCAATCCAATTCAATTCAAAATTGCTTTATTGGCATGACTGTAAATGATACAATATTGCCAAAGCTTAGTACACATGTACAAAAAGATAAAAACAAATAATAATAATATAGTAACAATAATAATAAGTAAATGAACGTCACAGTAATATAATGGAATATTATAACATTTTAGAAGTATTAAACTGTAACAAATTATAACGTGAACATTTGATACCACAGTCTTTAACTTACATAGAAACACAAATACTTCGGATCACTGTCGTGGACAGTAGGGTAACACACTGAGGTCAGACACAACACACATTCACCTGCTGTCCCTCTCTCACTCACACACACATTCACACACACATTCACCTGCTGTCTCTCTCCCTCACACACACACACGCAGACATTAAAGCATCTTCCGGAGAACTATACATTTTTTTGAAATTATTTATCTATCTTTTTCAAGTCAAAATGGACCTGACTGCATTATGAGGGTTAAAGACCACCAAGACCATTAATGATCAGGAATGTGCTGCTTTCATTCCATCGGAGTGATTATTTTCTCTTCAAAGACTCCCTGATAACACCATTATTGATTAACTTCTCCTCCTACACACAAACCTCGACATAAATCTTCATTCCTGAGCAAGCCATTACACTATTAACTCACGGGAAAGCCATTAAGACCTTGAAAACCAGCATCATCGCCACAAATCCCTGCTCCTGCCAGATTAAAACCCGTTTTCACTCAGATCTGTGTGTTTACAGCAGCATGGCTCTGACTACATTAGATATACATGTCCATTAGTGTATCAGTGGCTTAAGAGAACTTCATCCGTTCTTTCAAAGCCTCGCTGTGTGTGCATTCCCTCATAATTCAAGTCAAACCGGATCTGAGCTGATCTAATCTTCGAATCTCTAGCTTAAAATATCAATATATCGATATAAGGCAGCCAAAATCAGCAGTCAAGATATTTGTTTGTTCATAATTTTAATTGTGTACATGTGCGGTGATGGTCTGTATCTCTGGCAGGAAGCTCAAATAAACGATTAGGAAAGATGGTTTCGCTTTACTGCAGACGGATCCACAGTGGGGCGTGGCTACACTGCTGCCATGGAAACCAAAGCATTATGCAAATCGGTCGGTATCTAAGGGCAACCGAAGCAAAAGGCCCCACCCACAGCAGTGAACATGTGACCTGTGAGCATCCGCCGGACTCTGATGAGAGCAGCTTGTGTTTCTCTCACACACACACACACACTCACACACACTCACACACTCACA